GTGTGAATTTCATGTACCAAAAAAAAATTAAAACAAGGAATTTTGTTTTTAGACTCTCAAATTGAAAAGCAATCTTAAGCGATAATACTTAATGGCTGACAAGCGTAGAATAAGATGGGAACGTACTGGCGGCAGAGTAACTCGTAATCCTTCTGGAAAGCTAGTTGACAGTATGCATCGAGAGACTTCCGGCATCTAGAAATTCAGCCTAAGGAAATAGTAATGTAGCCAGATATATGTACAGAGATTTCTATGCGTTCTTGTTTATAATAGAAGATTGGAATGCTGTATAGTAATGAAATAGAAACGTCAATTATAGTCACCCTATAACTAAATTTCATTTTATTAAGACTATGGATACAGAAATGTTCATAATGTTATATGGAAAAAAGAACATGAAGTATATCTTCAGTGTGATCTCATTTTTTAAAACTGTATGTCTGTGTGCGGAAAGGATGGGAAAGTACATCCAGATGCCAGCAGTGGTTTTCTGGGTGGTAGGATCATCAGTGACTTTATTTTTCTTCTTTATACTTACATGTTGTTTGCGAAGGTCTGCAAGGAGCCTGGTAATACTCACGTGAGAGCAGATCTAGAATAATCCTCTGCGATCATGATGAACGCAGTAGTGATGGCCGACATTTGTTCACTGAGTGCTTGCTTTGCAGGAGGTGCCCCGTGCTCAGTGCTTCACACACTTCACTGATTTATTAATTACTTTCCTAACAACCCTAGGAGGAGACCCTATTATCATCCCCATTTTCCTAAGGAGAAACTGAGGTACAAAAAGGTTTAAGTGTTTATCTGAGGTTATGCGGCTAGTCGGTGACAACGCCGGTATTAGAACCTGAGCACTCCACAGCCTGGGCTCTTGTTTTCTTTACAAATTCAACCTAATTGATTAGTAACAATTTGGACACTAGAGGAGAAAAGACAAGAGCACTTAAAATGCCCCTAGCCAGAGCCTCCAAAGTTTTGTTTTATGAAGAACTTGTACATTTTAATTCAAGAAAAGGGGGAAATCTTCTCTCCATGTCCTTGGTGCTAAATAGTTGCACGATGATGTGGTGAGTAACAGGCATTTGCAAAAGTATATCCATCTTAATCGTTGTCACTTATAACAAGTAAACATTTGAGCTGAATTGTTCAAGTTCCTCTTGAACAGATGAGAATCCCAAGCAGCATGTCCCCCTGGATGAGTATGTTGCGAATTTGAAGAGTATGGTGCAGTACCTGAAGTCTGTGGACGTCCCAGAGAACCGAGTCATTCTTGTCACGCCACCCCCTCTCTGTGACACAGCCTGGGAGGCTGAGTGCGTCACGCAAGGTAAGCAAGCCAGAGCCCACCCCATCACTCCGGGCAGAGTGCTCGGAGGGGGACTTTGGAAGGACAGTGGTTTCCTGCCTGTGGGGCTGGGCTGCTTAGGGGGCGGGTATATCCACACCAGTCTGTTCTCAATCAACTGCAGTTAAAAGTACAGCGTCCATTGTATCGCACCTGAGGACTCTCGACATAGAAAAGGGATTCCGACTCTGGATAATTCGGGAGGCAACTGCTGGCCTGGCATTGCTGACCTTTGTAGTTGCCAGACTCTTAGGGTGCACCTGAAACCCCAAGAACCCTGCAGAGAGGCCAAGTGAGCGTCTTGGAAGAGTCAAGCGAACTGCAGTGCTGAGACTGAGGGGCTGGACGTGCCCTTGACTTGCGCCTCCACCTCGGGGGCGTTTTCCTGACTTTGGGGCAGTGGGAGGCGCTGGCAGCCATTTGCTTCTCCCATTTCCATCTGTAGGTGACCAGGAGAGACGGCCCTTTCTCTGCCCTGCCCATACAGATTCTTCCCTTTTCTGCCTATTTGGCATCTGGAGAAAAAGTGTAGTGGTAAAATGCTTTTGTTTTCTTCTCTATAAAGACCCTATCGTGTAACGCGAGTCTAATAATTCTCTCATGCTAACGTACAGTTGTCCCTCAGTGTACTCGGAGATTGGTTCCAGGACCCGAGTGTGCCAAAATCTGTACACACCAAGTCCTGTAGTTAGCCCTCTGTATACTCAGGTCCTGCATCCTGCAAATAGTGTATTTTTGATCTCCCTTTGGTTGGAAAAAAATCTGTGTGTAAGCAGACCCTCACAGTTCAAACCTGTGTTGTTCAAGGGCCACCTGTACCTAAGTGGTTGAAAAGGTGCTTTGGGAATTTTTCTAAGTTGCCTGAAACTAAAGGAGAACAGGTGGTTCTAGGACAAATCAATGGCTTTACAACCCAGGACAGCTGTTTCTCAAAGCACGGTCTGACTCAGAGTTAGCTATTTAGCAGTGTTTTCAGGTAGATTTCTGGGCCCATTTAAGCACTCTAGATGTTTCTTATGCACACCACCACTTTATGGAACTGTTACTGTTCTCCCTTAACCAATGGGGAAATTGAGTCTCAGAGGTTAAGTAACTTGCCCAAGATCACACAGCCAGTATCAGAACCAGGAATCAAGTCCTCTGCTGAATAGAGCAGCACATGTGAGTAACCTGCAAGTCCCATCACCTAATTCCACAAACCCCGTGGCTCGCCCAAGTGGGGTCAGTATTTAATGGAACTTCAAAACTGTGCCTAGGTCAGTAGAACTTACACAAGGAGCAACACTTGGGTTTATCATTTGTCGCCTGGATTTCCTCTCTTCAATAGGTTACAAATTAAATCGCCTGAACTCAGTTGTTGGTGAATATGCCAATGCATGTTTACAAGTGGCCCAAGACTGTGGGACTGATGTACTTGACCTGTGGACCCTGATGCAGAAGGACAGCCAGGTACAGTGACTTGCTCAGTCCTCTCAGGGTGAGTGGGATCACACAGAAGTAAGCCAGGTGTGTGTACGAGTTTTCCTAGAATGGCTCTGCTTAGTTAAGACAGTTTTCCCTTTCACCAGTGAAAACAAAATTGTTGGGCTGAAGGGAGGCATGGGAAGGCTCCAGGACAGCTCACAAACCCAGTAGCTTATTCAGCCTAGTTTCTTAGCTGGGAGTTACTATCTAGTGGCATAAATGGGCAGTAAACGGTTCATATTTAAAAACATCCAGGGCTGGGCACAATGGCTCACGCCTGTAATGTCCTTCCAATGGTCCTTCCAATGACCTAGTAATTTCTGATATTTACCTGCTTATATTAATCTGTACTGGGGACAATGGTAACCAGTAAGAAAGTCATACTATCCTGTGGGTACTGAGGTCACCAATCATCTGTAGAGGCCCACAGAGCCCTGGCTTTGGTGCCAGCTCTGTACCTGTGTAAGTCACTGACCCCTGTGCCTCCAGTATTCCTCCGAAACCTCGACCGAACTTGAACCTTCTCGGATTCCCAGCTCCAGAGGGACCTTAGCAGCTTGAGTGCTCTAAGATTCCCTCCGAGAAAACAAGGAATTTTGTTTTTAGACTCTCAAATTGTAAACCAAGGCCGGGCACGGTGGTTCACGCCTGTAATCCTAGCTCTCTGGGAGGCCGAGGTGGGCGGATTGTTTGAGCTCAGGAGTTCGAGACCAGCCTGAGCAAGAGCGAGACCCCGTCTCTACCAAAAATAGAAAGAAATTAATCGGACAGCTAAAAATATATAGAAAAAATTAGCCGGTCATGGTGGCGCATGCCTGTAGTCCCAGCTACTCGGGAGGCTGAGGCAGAAGGATCGCTTGAGCCCAGGAGTGTGAGGTTGCTGTGAGCTAGGCTGACGCCACGAGGCAACAGAGTGACACTCTGTCTCAAAAAAAAAAAAAAACCTGTAAACTATTGGGCTAGTTATACTCACGTTTTAGATTCGATGATCTCTACACCCTCCCAGTTCGAGAATCTTAAACTGTCTAGATGAGAAAACCACGGCCTAGGGAGAAGTGCTACTGGAATCTGAATTCCTGGTCTGTTAAGTCACACAGCTAGTTGGCCACCAGATTCTAATAGGGATGGGGAGGGGAGCTCTTGCCTAGTAAGATTATTCTTCCCCAAGGGAGAAATGGCTCTAGTGTAAATAGTCTTCAGTTCAGGGGAGACTGGACTCTTACATCCCAGCAATTATTGTTCTAGGCTGGATGGTACAAGTTGTTTCCAACTAAAAACCTACCAATTTAGTACACAGACTAACAGTCAAAAACAATGACTCACTGGGGCCTCGAGCTCTCATAATACCAAATTTTTCTTTTTCACTGATTACCTGAGAACCACGTCATATAATCCAAAAGACGTAGGATGGCATCCCAGCTCGGACAGTTAGTGGAGTTACGAAGCTCACTGCTGTAACAGGGAGGGGGTGCTGCAGCACGAGTGAGGGTTCTGTGGGTCTGAGCTCCTGTGTAAATGGCACAAGTTCCAGGCAATTCTGGTCAGATGCCTGCAATGAAAGGGGCTGGTGACCTTTTTGTTGCAGGGCCACAACTAGAATGGCACACAATGGCATTTGGAAAATCACATCTTACCTGGATTTTCCCTTCCTTACAGGACTTCTCACCCTACTTATCAGATGGACTGCATCTGTCACCAAAGGGAAACGAGTTTGTGTTCTCACATCTCTGGCCTTTGATAGAGAAGAAGGTCTCTTCTCTACCTTTGCTGCTTCCTTACTGGCGAGATGTAGCGGAAGCAAAACCTGAATTAAGTCTGCTGGGGGACGGAGACCATTAGTCAAGCACGGGAAACCCAAGTCGCCAATGCACAAAGACTCCAAGGAGATCAATGGAAGAATATTTTTTTCCCTCAAGCTTAATTATTCCTGTCCTCATGCCTCTGGATCAAAAAACACATTTGTCACCAATATTAATAAAAATATTTTTTCAGGGAAGTATTGTACTTAGGTATATTGTATTTTGGTATTAAATACTGATTGGTGCAGAAGTCATTAATGCCATAGGATATACCCTGAGAAGCTTGTTAATTCTACATATGGCAAAAAAGGTGACAACTGTTTTTTTAAAAAGTCAATTTTATAAAAATGGTTTTACATTCAGGTGAGAACTGCTTCACTCTCATACATACACCCACACCCTCACTCACCTCATATCAAATTCTGAAAGTGTAACTAAAATATAATAATGTGACTAGTTAAAAGATAGCAAATACCAATAAGGTACAAAGTTCAAGTATTAGTGTAACAAGTATCTGCGTAACAAACGTCCTTAGAGGGGGAAAAAAAAGGCATGATTTGTCACAGGTTTGGTTAATTACCCTCAAAGTTTACAAGTTATCTCAGTTAAAATGTGTTGGCTGGTGAGGACATTTCAGTTTTTAAGGGGAAAAAAACTTAACTAATTTTATGGAAAACAGAAGTCAGGCTAATGATTTTTATCCTTCACATGGTAAATGCAGATCATCCAGAATCACTAAAGCAAGAAGTAATTCAAATATCCACTCGTGGGTCAATCAAAAGGGTTTCTGAAGCATCTGTTCTTGTAGGGACAGGCCCCAGCCTATGTTCTCCTGGTAAGAAATATCTCACCCTCCTATCCACTAGTGTTTGAAAACAGGCAACCATGCTCTAATTGTATTTTCAAGTAGTTTAGATTTGTAGACAGTGAATTTTTCAAGAGCACAGTAACAGTGTTAGGGCTACATGAAGATACTTCTAAAACACAGAAAAACTTACCAGCACATCAGGGCCCTAAATAGCTGGCAGGATTCCATAACTTCAACAGGCTACTATTTGTAACCCTCACCATAAGCTAGATTGTTTTAATTCTAGAAGTATTAGGCTCAGAATTATGAAGAAGCATATTAACGCGAATGATTTCTAACTTCAGATGTATAATTAAAGCTCTGGGTAATAACCAGAAATAGACCCACATTTTAGAGACATTGTAAAACTAGGTCTATCTCCTTTGTCTCTACCTGAAGGCAAAAAAATCTATTCTGTTTTCCAGTTGCCCTCACAAATAACTGCTAAATGCCTCATTATATTCAGCGGATCAATTACAGTGTATAAAAAAAAACTGATCATCTCCCTCATCAGTGCTGTTATCAATATAAAAGGTTAATTTACAAAAACGTAAATATTTATAACCTAATCCACCTGTATTTTCTGCTTCTGCACCACAGGTCAAAGGATATTTTAAAATTCACAAAAACTAAAACCTGAAAGCCTCAAAATAAGCTGGATTCACCTTACCTCTTCAAAAGGAAAAGGGCCTAAGCACACATATTTACATGCAGGAAGTTCAAACACATGACCAGCATCTGCTGTTAAGTCACTTCCTCATTTCTCCCAAATCTTCACAAAACATACGCTGTGATTTTAGGTGAGATCTATAAAAATATTTTGTACACTTAAGTCAAAGAGCTTAGAACATGAAGCCCTAAACTAGCACTCCGTTTCTTTGCTGTCAACACGATTCTGACGCTGCAGTTTAAAGGAGGTGGCCTTTTCACTTCTGGTGACCGGGTGGTCTGTGAGATCCTCAAACGACTTGGCAGCCGTGCCGCTATTCGGGAAGGGGTCCTTCTCGAAGCCGTCCTCGTCCACATGGGAGTCTGTGCTGGGGTCCTCCTGAATGGTGTCCATTCTCTGGTGGTCCAGCTTCGGAGCCACAGGCACTGAGGGGATCACGGGGGAGGCCTGCAGGCGGCCCGGAGTCTGGGGTGCAGGAAGGGGTTTGAGGATGCGAACCGATGCTGAGTCCATGCTGCTTAGCATTTCGACATTCTGTAAAGATACGGGTTTGACAGATGGGAATGAAGGATGAATCGAAGGCCCTCACCGCTCCAACCTCACCCATCAGAGGGCCTCACTCTGTTGGCACTGTGATCCCTCTTGCACGGGAATGCCAGGTGAAGCTCGCTCAACCCAAGAAGGAACTGAAAACAGCTTTCGCGTGTGTGACAGCTTGCCATTCCAGAACCCAAAGCCAACTCAAACCTATCAAGTTAAGAACCCAAGACAGGAAACAATCTCAAAATATTAACTAAGTCAGTGCCGAACAGCTAGATCACTTCTTATGGCTGTAGGAGGGGCAGAACAGCACTTTTCTTTTTTTTTGGAGACAAGGTCCTGCTCTGTCACCCAGGCTCGAGTGCAGCAGCATGATCATACCTCACTGCAGCCTCGAACTCCTGGGCTCAAGTGATCCTCCCGCCTGACCCCCCTGAGTAGCTGGGACTATAGGCATGCGCCATCACATCTGGCTATAGCGTTTTTAAATTTTTTGCAGATACAGGGTCTCACTGTGTTGCCCAGGCTGCTCTCAAACTCCTGGTCTCAAGTGATCTTCCTGCCTCAGCTTCCCAAAATGCTGGGATGACAGGCGTGAGCCACCACACCCAACCCTCTTCTCTTTTAAATCTCTGTCCATACAACTAATCAAAGTTCATCACTGCTGTAGTCAGGAGAGTTAACATCCAACCTAGACCCTCCCTGCTGCAACGTGAACATCCAGTAGACAAAGCAGCTCAGCTGTGGGGTCTGAGAACTCTTGCGGGGTGGCCAACTGAAGGTCTCTGCTTTACAGGGTCTCAAGATGCAACTGGAAATTATTTTTTCTTTCATATGGTGTACTTACACTGGGGTGAAATAGCGACAGAGATTCATATTGCTTATCCAATTTCTTATCCTAGAAAGAAAATAGCAAAAAAAAATCATTCCTACAAATAAAATTCAGTTAATAAGTGCTCTTTCTTCACAGGCTGCTAATATTAAGAACTCAGAAGTGAAGTTGTAGAAACTGGTAGCCGGTTCAATAGACGAGAATGCATTTCTTACACAAACTTCCAGCTGTGCCACCAGTCTAGAACTGTTTGCTTTGCACTCCAATGCATTTTTGGCATTAAGCACAGAAAGAGGCATGGTTTAAATGCCACTTCTCTGAGAGATTCCCCCCCCACTCCACCCACTGTGGGCAGAATAACAAGGGTGTCTTCTGTGCATGCAGATCACTGTCCTGTCCCAGGTCCTCGTAGGAAAGGGTGGGGGGTGGCCTGCAGCCTCCCTCAGCACTAGGCCTCACACTGCCCCGCCCCACAGCCACACTCTTCCCAGCTGTTTCCAGTGTCTGCTGCCCACACTCCGTTCTACATCACACTCTGCAGAAGGCTGACCACGTGGCCATCTGCTGCCTCCACCTCTGCCTGTGGCTGAAGCATAACAGGTAACAAAGGGTAAGGAAGGACAAAGAACCTAGGCCTTGGCTTCTCATCTGGCTACCATGAATGTATTCTGTGGCCAGAAACAGATACCACCCTCTCTCCAGTCAGAGGCTTTGCTCTGAAATCAAGGGTCACCCCTTACGGTCCACGACTTCCACCGTAACACAAGGGATGGCACTGTCATCCAGAGACATAGTCCTCTGCCAAAACTTCAAACACATCACCTTTCAAACAGCTTTGCAGCAAGAGAAGTGCTCCCGAGAGACTTCCCTCCCCACACCCATCACACGGCACCACCACGCTGAGGAAGAGCTGCTCAGGGAGAGGCCCACGAGCAAGAGAAGCCGTGGAAAAGAAAAGGAAGCAGAAGGCAGGACAAATGCCTCTCTTCCGAGAGTTAGCTGTGCTAGAATTTTTTAAGTGTTCATAGGAGGGGCACGTGAAAGTTGCAGAGAACAAGTCTGGAAGCCTGGGTCTGACCTCCTCATGTCTGCAGCAGACAAATCCCCATTCCCCATAGATGCAAGGTGAATGGATTTGTAGGAACATTTCTTAACAAGGGCCTCACGCTTATAAAGTATCTGGAGTTCCTTAGACAAAGCCCAGTTCCACTTGTAGCTGTCAGTCAATTTGAACAATAGAAAAGACCGCTCACTCTTTAGCTCGAAAGATCTGAATACCCTACACAATGCAAAGACTATATGGTTTATGGGGAACATCTCTGAAATGTTGATGCTTGATATTTGCTCTATTATAACAAAGTCAGCCTGAAAATGCCTTGTTTATAAATGAAGCCTTACTCTTAAAGGACCTAGACAAATCCTGTTAAATAGTCTCCTGTACTTAGAAGTATAAAATTGCTAAGAATAAATATATTAGAATAAAATAAATACATTAGAATATAGGAATAGAATAAATATATTAGAATAAAACGCACACAAGAAAGTATCCTTCTTCTAAAAGGCCATCAGCTAAGCTTTCTAACAAGACATGCTCTCCTAGAGATAACACCAAAAAATGTCATTGGAAACATCAAGCAAGACTTCGCTAAGAACAAATTTAATCTTTTCCAAAGATTACATGGTTGGAGTTGCTCAAAATTTTAATAAATGTTTAATTATTTAAAATTGGTGACTTACCACACAATGGACAAGAATGCTGAAAGGAATCCAAAATATCAGGGAGAAAACCAGGACGGACCCTACGATGTTGTCTGCTAAAAACTTCCCTGTGAACAATTCCAAACAGTAAATGTCTTGACCAAGTAGTTCACAGATGTAAAATAAAATGCTCTTAGATTCTCACTGTTGTGTGAAATGCCAGAGTTACTGGCTCGACACTACCACTAACACAGTACCATGAAGAGTATCTAGGCCACCCGTAGTATACGGGACCCTCCCTCCACACCAACAAGTTTTTAAAGCCCTGGTACACGTGATGAGACTGCAGCGTATTCAACATGCTCCCTGGAGTAACTGTGTCAGTCAACAGACTAATCATATAGAAGGCTACTACTAGGATAACTGCTTAAGAAGACAAAGTTTCTGTTAACTGGATATTATTATTTTTGTGATTTAACTCCAAATTATGGACTCTTGAGGACATAGTACATCCTTACTTCTGCAAGACACGAGGCCACTTAAATGACACATCAAGGAGGATCCAGACTTACGGTCTATAGCCTTGAACCATGCTATGCTGTCATGTGTACATTTTTTAGTAAAGAAGGAAGCCAATATTTTGACAAATTATTTATTTCCCTTGTTGGAAAATTTGTGCATCCAAGCTACACGGGGACAGACCTATAATGAATCCATTTTATTCTAGCCAACAAAGTTGTTTCATAACAAAAGCGGTGAATATTTTCACCTTCCACTGCAGGATTAGAGCACATCACTCTGAAACCACACTTTTCTAATATCTTAAAAGAAATGAGCTAAGTTCTAAGTAAACAATCTGGGGAAATCACCTACCAAAAGTATTGATGCTCAGCTGGTCAATGAAATCCCAAAATCGCTCAATTACATCCTGTACTCGTTTCTCGCATTTGCCCTGTGAAGGGAAAACACACAGCATTATCCCTAAACATGGGATAGCAACATGGATTTATAAAGATAATTGACACTGGCAGGTGTGGTGGTTCACGCCTGTAATCCCAGCACTTTGGGAGGCTGAGGCAGGAAGACCACTAGAGGGCAGGAGTTCGAGACAAGCCTGGGCAACATAATGAGACCTTGTCTCTACAAAAAAAACAGCAGTAATAATTGAGATGTAAAGGGCTTCATTAAAACCAAACATTTAGGTCCCTTTTTTTTGTTTTGTTTTTTTAGAGACAGAGTCTTGCTCTCTCACCCAGGCTGGAGTGCAGTGGCATGATCAGAGCTCACTGCAGCCTCCAACTCCTGGGCTCAAGCAATCCTCCTGCCTCAGCCTCCCAAGTAGCTGGGACTACAGACACAAGTCACCATGCCGAGCTAATTTTTCCTATTTTCTGTATAGACAGGGTCTCGCTATGATGCCAGGCTGGTCTCAAACTCCCAGTCTCAAGTGATCCTCCTGCTTCAGCCTCTTAAAGTGCTGGGTACAGGTTTGAGCCACCGTGCCTGGCCCTAGGTCCCATCTTTGACACAGGGAATAACTGCAGGGTAATGAGTACCCAAGAAAGCAGAACGTACTATACCTGACATTTTCATATTAGTTCGTTATTATAAGTGAATTTAGAATTACCAGTAGACAAAACTCAAGAAAACCAGTTTGCCAAAGATGGGGTGTTCTAGTAAAGACAATACTGATCACGCACAGTGGACAGTGAAGAACACAGCCACGCTACCCGAGAAGCCCCTCTAAACCATGATACCCTCTCCTATCATTTTGCATGAAAAAAAAATTATGTAGGGAACAAAAGCATCTTATGTAGGTAAGTCAAGCAGCCTTCCAGGACTTTGCTACTCATTCGGAACCTGTTTCAAAATCACATCTTGAATAATTTTGTAATCTTAGTCAATTATTTAAGTAACCTAGGGAAGCATAATTAGGACCGACTGCCTGAAACCAACCAACTTCAGCGTACAGTCCCCTCCCCCAGGTCCTTCCCAATCTCTGGGTTGAGAGTCTCCTGCAATGGAGCTTATGAATAAGCTCCACCAACCTGAAAGCACTTGGTCTTTTCCTCCTAAAAACCTAACTAAAAACCTCAACCAAAAACAAACAGCCAGAACGATGTAACAGCATTTGTGTTTTGATTTCCTTCTACTTACAAAATCAAGTACTTACAATATAACAACTTCCCATGTGGCTGTTACAGAAAAGGCTGTACATAAATACATACTTACGTTCATGTCACAAAATCCTACTGTACAGGGCTTTCCTTTCCTCAAAAATAAGTTCTTTTGTTCAGCATCAACATAGGGCACACACCGGCCAGAAAGGTCCCTGCAGCACACCTTGCACGAGTTGTCAGTCTCTGAAAGAGAGCGCATGGGGTGACCGCTGAGACCCGCCCTCCTCCTCCTCCCCCCCCTGACCATGCTCCCAAAGAGGCAAGAACCCACATTTACTTTTTATTTCAAAAGCGAATACTATTCATATCCACCCTCTAAGGAGCGCTTTCTGAGCTCACACTCCTCGACCCTTGGGTACAGAGGCCACAAGGTTAAAAAAAACTTACAGAAAGGTCTCTGTTACAGATTAAAAGCCTCTCTTAAAAGTCAAATTATTCTCTTTACTTGGAGCCCTCCACAATGTTCCTGTAAATGTTGCCCTTTGTCCCAACATTCTTGCCACGTGGCAGGTTTCAATCCTTGGCTTCTCGGTCTGAAACGTGCCCTGCAGGGCCGGCGGCTCCACCAGAGCCAGAGCCAGAGCAGCTGCAGCGCCATATGCCTGCGGGTGCACGGCCACCCCAACTCCTGCAAAGCCAGCTGACAGCACACAGGCTACAAGACAGCCGGGCAGCCATGCGCCACGTGGGCACACACAGGAGTGGCAGAAACGCCAGAAAATTAAACAACCAGTATAACTCAGGGGACAGTCTTTATTTGACCCAGGAGAAAGTCTTTGTTTATACTCAGGAGAAGATAGAAATCAAGGAGAACACAAAAACAAGCAAAACAAAAACCTTTTCATCATTCACTCATTTATCAAACATCTCCTGGGCATTTACTGTGTGCCAGGCTGTGTCTGTCCTTCCAGGGCACCCCAAGCTTCTTGCCACTCACTCAGATTACTTATTGGCCACCTCGTACGTGGATCGTCTTTATTTACACGTTATTCTACCCAGAACAGCAACCTACTCCACTGTATGGATGGGAAGTTCCCAACTCAGTGATTTTAACTACTGGGTTCTTTGTCTATTTTCTTTTACTATTTTTTTTTTTTTTAATTTCAAAAGACCAGTGACAAGCTTTGTCTATTTTGGAAAAAAACAGAACCCTCTCATCAACTCATGCTCTCTGTTGAAGTGGGGTGGGAAGCTCAGAGTCCAGCCAGTTCCTGAGGCCCTCAGATCAGAGGTTCCCAGGAAGCTAAGGAAAACTGAGCAGCCAGCATGAGAGAGGCTCCTGCCCAGGCTGCTCTGGCAGAGATTAGGAGGGAGTGGGCCCAGCCTTGTTGACGACAGCAAAAATTCTGATCTATGGGGTCACATCCTAGAATCAGCTCTTTGTGGTTGAGTTCTAGAAGGAGTATCCTAGTTCAACGCCTGTGGAATGTAGACAGCTCCTGTTGTTTTCATGGTATTTAATACAGGGGAGAGGAGGGCAAGGAGCAACATCCACCCACCCGCCCACACTCAACCACAACAAAATGCCCTCCTCTCCCACCCCAAGGCCTGCCATATGGCCTGAAAATGTAGCAAGAAAGACCAGGAGGACAGTTTTCACAGGTAGGATGGAGGAGCCAGGATCTGAATGCAGGGATGTCTGTCTCCAACACCACTCTGCCTGCTCCCCTCGGCTTGGTTCTCAACACTGCCCTGAGCAGCACTGGGCAGCAGACGCTGCTGGGCCTCCGTGTCTCCTGCTCCAGGACTCAGCGGAACACCATCCTCACCGTTACATGCACAGGACTCCAGCTGCTGCTCCCTCTCACAGAAGGGGATGCACTTCCCATCTTTACACTTGCCCAGATCCAAGCAAACGGTGTCATCTTCAGCATTTCCTGGAGGGGGACACTCACTGCTGTTACCTGGAAGCAAACACCAATTAGCGCAGTGAGTCGCAGGTCCACTAGTTCTATAGGTGCACAATACACTGTTTCTCACAAAAGCAGCGAGCACTTCGCAAACAGCAAAAAGTGTCCAATTGTTCATGTTTTTTCTTTTATCCTTTTATTGTGAAACATACATATAAAAATGTATTAAATATATAATGTCTGTGCATACTATTATCACTAATAAACACCTATGTGTCATTACTCAGAATAAAATGCAAACTCCCTATGGAGGCTTAGCAGAGCTGCGTGGCCTGGCCCAGCCTGGCCCTGACCTCGCTGCACACAGCTCTCCCAGAGCCTGCTCTGCTTCCGCTGCCACGGCCTCCACGCATGACCTCTAGTACTCCAAGGTCTTCAGCACCAACATTAACAGATACTATTCTCCTACCTGGAATGCTCAGCTTCCACTCTTCTGGGGGGACTAGCTGGCTTTTTCTCATCATTAAGTTCTGTCTCGAAGGTCTTTTCTGAGACATCTCTGAAGATGCTGCTAAGTTGCTGTGGCCTCCCACTTCCACTATGAACTATCACCATACGCTCTTTCTCTTCTTTGCATGTTTTGCAATTTTTCTATTTGATTATCTACAGTTATCTTCTGTTTCCCTCCAGTAGACTGCTAAGCTCCATGAGAGTAAAAATCAAATCTATTAATTAATCAACCTATGTCCAATCCCTATGATATTGGAGGTAAACCATAAATATTTTTTGAATGAATCAATGATTCTTAAGGACACAGAAAAGCCCCCAAAGAATGTTAAGCTTGGGGAAGAGAGGATGGAATAAGTGACTCATTCTGGAAAATCACCAGCACAAGCAGTTAAAGGTCAACACAAGAAAAGGAGAGAAAAACTAGTGCATGAAAGCAACGGACTATACCCAGAGCTCTGGACTGGCCTTTCCGCAGAAGAACAAACAAGCAAAACAATTCTGACTCAATGGCCTCTGAAGCAATAACACAGAACTTAAATCTGGCCTGTTACAAATAAAAGCAATTATTTATTAAGTACCTAATACGTTATCAAGCACTTTGCCTCTGATCTCATAAAACCCTTTATGGGCCCTAGGTATTTACGGTATGAACAGTCATTTAACAAACTGTTACTGAAGCAAGCTACAGAAGATGTGCAGTGAGCTCAGTGAAGGTCTTTACTGTGGATCATTATTGTATTTTCAGTATATGATACTGCCCTGATACATCTTAAAAAGTGCTCAATAAATATTTGTTGAATATTTGTTCTTTTTTGTTTTGTTTTCTTTGAGACAGAATCTTACTCTGTCGCCCAGGCTAGAGTGCAGTGGCATCATCTTAGCTCACTGCAGCCTCAAACTCCTGTCAAGAGATCCTCCTGTCTCAAGTCTCCCAGAGCGCTAGGATTACAGGCATGAGCGACCATGCCCGGCCTGAACATCTGTTCTTAAAAGACTAAAATCAGTGGCTGGGCGCGGTGGCTCACACCT